TCATTGTTGTTTGGCGGGTCCGGGCTGGGGATTCGAACCCGCCACCTTAGGTGTACGTGGCTAGCGCCTTAGCCGGTTGAGCTATAGGCGCCGAGCCATCACCTTTATTTTACATAACAAGTAGCAAAAAGCTAAGTGGACTTGAAGCCAATCACTATTCTATGATAGATCTACTTCATGGAATTGTAGAAATTACTTTACACATAACATACTTAAGTCAGCTGTTTGGCACAAGACTAATTTTTTCCCCTACAACTTTGGTGTAGGAGAAACTATCTCCAAACCATACATTCACTTCTAGTATGAAACTTGTGCTTGAGGTTTAATATTAGTATTTATTCACTGGCCAGAAAACTATTTCCCAAAATTAATGTCCAAAGTCAGTCTTTTTGTATTTTTGAGACAGAGCCTCAAGCTATCCCCCTGGGTAGAGTGCTGTGCCATCACAGCTCACAGTATCCTCAAACTCTTGGGCTTAAGCGATTGTCTTGCCTCAGCTTCCCAAGTCGCTGGAACTACATGCACCCACCACAACCCCTGACTTTTTTTGTTGCAGTTGTCATTGTGGCTTAGCTTAATGGGCCACGTTTGAACCCGCCAGGCTCATTGTAATGTGGCTGGCACCGTAACCACTGTGCTATAGGCACCAAGCCACATTTAGCTCTTTCCTCTCCATCTCTATCTCCCCTAGCTAGTTTAGGATTCAGTTACCTTATTGCTATACAAATGCTATGAGCTCCATCTCCATCACTACCTAATACCACTACCAACCACTTACATTCTTTTTTTTTTTTTTTTTTTTGAGACAGAGCCTCAAGTTGTCGCCCTGGATAGAGTGCTATGGCATCACAGTTCACAGCAATCTCCAACTCTTGGGCCCAAGTGATTCTCCGGCCTCTGCCTCCCAAGTAGCTGGGACTACAGATGCCTGCCACAACGCCCAGCTATTTTTTGGTTGCTGCCATTGTTTTTGGCAGGCCCAGGCTGGATTTGAATCTGCCAGCTCAGGTGTATGTGGCTGGCACCTTAGCTGCTTGAGCCACAGGTGCCGAGCCCACTTACATTCTTATGTTCCAGATCTATCTCCCCAATCTAAATCTAAGAAAACTGGCCACATAGCTACATTCCCACACCTCCCAAATAGGTTCTTCCTTTCCAGCCCTGGATCCATTCTTTTCCTACTTTTGAATAATGGTTCCCTAATTACGCAAACCATTAGTTTTCAAGTTCCACCCTCAGATGATCCTGGCAAATAAACAAGGCCTGGATAATCTTTCCCTTCTTTGAACATGTGGCAATTTACAACCTAGAATACCTACATACCCAGCAATTAATCACATTACATTGCACACTCATGCTTTATTTTCAGTCTTCTCTAACTCATGCTTTATTTTCAGTCTTCTCTAACTTAATGAAGGCAGACCTTGTCTTTTCTCTTCTTGTATAACCCAGAGTACTGTGTATGTTGGAAGGATGATACAGTTTTTTTTTTTTTTTTT